CACAGGAAGCCAGAGTTCCTGTGAAAGGGTGCAGGCTGCATGCCCTCTCTGAGCAGCCACAACCATTCCCAGCATAACTGAAAGCCAGCTCTTTCAAGGCACGGATGACAATTTGCAGGAATATAACTGCTCTACTTTAAAATGCAAGAGAGGCCTTTATGAGACTACTAATGGATGAAAGGAGCTGATAAGTATTACTAAACCAGTACTTGTGTCAGTAGGGTGGGTGTGTGTCTCACTTTATGGTATCTAATACCACTAGATGGCACCCACTGACTTTTTTTTTTTTTAAAGATCTAGCCAAACTGCCGCAAGATGTTGGCCATTCAGTTGTACATTTTTGAAATTTTTCCCAGCCGTTCAGTTGTACATTTTTGAAGTTTTGCTGGCCTCTGCTATAAAAGGATGTATGTTGGCTTATGCTGAAACCAGTGGTTATTTCTTGTAATCTAATCCAGATGACTGGACCTTGCATCACTTCCCAAGTTTTTAAATGCAGTTCCAATATATCACCTTTTAAAAGTGGAGAGGAGGCCCACTCCCTGCAATATGTTGACAGGCAACTGCTCATATTCTTTATCCCATCTTCCTATATGATGTGTGTAACCTGTATGTAACCACCAGGACTATGCAAAGGGTTCAAAAGGGGCATTTCACAAAGGATGTTGGTGTGAGCAAAGCACCTGCCTTCCAAATGAAAAGGCTGCTCAGTCCTCTGAAGGGCTTGGGGTGGCTTCACACGCACAGAGTTCTTCAGTTAGGTCTGCTAGCTTTGCGCAGCCCTTGAGGGCTGAAAGTGGTTTTTTATTTTAAAAAAAAAAGGATGATGAGGAGCAATATAAGAGTTTGTTGGATGCTTAAGGCTGCTTATTCCCACTGCTTGAATGTGACGACTATCACATACTTCAAATGAGTTATCTGAAACAGGCAATGCTACAAATGAGTGTTCTGCAAGTTCACTGTAATCCCAACCTGGCCTGACACAAACTAGATCTGCAGCTCTATCCAAAATAAGGTGGTTAGTGGGAAATACCCTGTGCCTATAATCATCTGTTGGACTAGAGAGAATCTCGTCCAACAACCTGCAAGTGTAGGATGTAGAAAACTTTCCATTGCAAATGTATAACACAGGATGGCAGTCATGTTCTTAGTAAGTCTCAGTACAAATTACAAGAGACACCTTTATGAAAACTTTCCAATATTTTATTACAATCTCAATCCGGAAAATGTCATTAGTTCATGGGATATATACATTCTTACATGGAAACTCCCCCCCCCCGCACTTTTTTTCCTAATCAGAAAGCAGGTAATCATATTTCATATACATGATGTATATCAAACATTAAAAAACAAGTTCAGGGGTTCCAAGGCTATCTGTGGTCCCCCAAACATTCACTCAGGCTTTCATGCATACATTTGCTTTTCCTGGTCATACATCAGCCTTGGGCAACAAATACATACAAAACCCCCAACTGTACTGGCCAAATAAAGAGATCAGCAAGAAATGCTACCTGGAATTACTTTCATAGTTCAATAACTGCAGCTGTTAAAAAGCAACTTGTGCTGCCCATTTTAAAGAATGGAGTTAGAGTTTACCTTTGTCTACTGTTGATGGGATAAGATTAGGTTGTACAGAACGCGGCTTGCTAAAATGACAGGGTTTTTATTTGGTCCCATTAATGCAACTTCCCTGTGCTGCTGTCATGAGAATGATGGAGCATGCTGTTTAGTATTTAGGAACAAATTGAGTTTGCGAGTTAAGATGATAGTAAAATATTAATCGCTAAGTGCAATAATGTTATTTTTTCCACTGTAATCCTTCTTTTGTTAGGAACATATACCAGGCTTCATTTCAAATTGGTAACTGAAACACCACTTGCCTTTAAAAATGTAAGCACTCAAAGGAAAAAGAAAGAAAAGTCCAAAGTTTAAAAAAAACTTGTTGAAAATATTTTAACTTGAAAAGAAGTTTGGCTCGTTTTACTGAAAGTTACAGTCAGCAGTTTATAGAAAGTATATATTTTTTTATGCTTAGTTCTGAATTGTACAAAAATGGTATACAAGTATGTGCTCAGAAACAAGAATGATTTCATTCTCTATCCAAAACTGAAGTCCAGATTGTTAGCCTACCTAGGGAGGAGCACTTCTAGGAAGCTGTGTTTTCTAAAAACATTGCCCTCTGGGATTGTTTCTAGTATGCCCAATCTTTACCAAGGTTTTTTTTCCCCATGTAACTGTCCAAAGAATAGTTCAGTTACTGGCACTGGGTGGCATACCAGGAGAATAATCTGGCTCATTTAGGGTTCTATTAGAAATCAGTTTAGCTGTCCAAAAGATTAATCAAATTTCAACATATCCACATCAACAGTCATACAGCTTCTCAGTCTATTCTGAGAATGGTCATGTAACAACCAACACTGGAAGAAATTATTGACTGAAAGCAGCCAGAAAGTAATAATTAGAAGACAACATTACTAATTTTGGGAAGTGGCCATCTCACAGATTTGTGCATGCATGCATGTGGCCTCTTTCCTTTTCTTACACTATGTTCAACAACAGCATAAATGGGATTGTATAATAAAGCTACACAAAAGTTGCTGCTGCGAATGAGAAGGGAAGAATATATTTTCCTTGTTTCTGTTGCTGCTTTCAGACTTCTGTGTCCCTGAAATCTTCAAATCAGGTTCCCCCAGTAGTGAATTAAGCCCACTATGAGGACAAATGAGGTGGAACTAGTCAGAGAACCAATATTGTCACTTCTATTCCTCTATCTTTAAATCAAAGCAAGTATCTTAATATCTTAAGAAACACCTTTCAAATGCTATTCAGGCTTTTGCCAGAAGACAGATCAGGGATAGACAAGCTACAAATTTCAGGATGGACTGCAACTCCCATCAATTCCCTATTATTTGTCATGGTGGCAGTTGATGAGACAAAGTCCAAAACATCTGAAAAGTTCCAGGTTGCTTATCCCTTGTGGAGACCATAATGTAGGTCAGTTGTACTGCTGTTCTGTTGTACCACCTCTTCATTGGGCTGTTCTCTTGTGCAACTCAGAACATATAACCCACCAGAAGCTGCTTTGAAAAGGAGAAAGATACACAGGCAAATCCAAGAATCAGTTGCTGTAAAGTAGAAGATGGTTCTTTTTGTTGCTAGCTTCCACTGCCACAAATTTATTTTCTGCTGTATGAAAATATCAAGAATTCAGTCACTTGGAAAATTTTATTTTTACACCTTGGGTTTTAGCATAGTCTAGATTTCAGAATTATTGTGTGAACAGAGAATATACATCTTTATGATGAAACAATTTACTTCTCTTTATGCAAAACTAGATCATACAAAACTGGATGACAAAATACTTGGCATGAGAACAAATGGCAAGACACAACTAGCACCTTGATCCTATCTGTTACCAGATCTGAAGGATTTTTCATAAAAGACTGACTCGGGATCAACCACACTATGAATGACATCTGTGGATTGTCACAAACACTTCTGTCCCAGAGCAGTATTTCTTGTTTTTATATTCTTAGCAGGAATGGGATAGTTTCTCTCTCATCCAACAACTTGCATTTCACGAAGTAAAACCATCATCCAACAAAAAATATTTGAGGAAACGCTCCAGTGCATTGATGCAGATTAGTAAAGAGCTCTGGCTGGTAATGCACACCTTCATTGTTGGGCAGTAGCTTGCAGTCTGAATGGACCTAGAGATTTGCCGTTCTCTGCTCTGAAGAGTTAGTTCTAGCACAGTTTAAAACCCTCCAGGGCAGTTGCTATTCAGTCCTAAACACTCTCACAGTAAGGTGTCTTATATACATTTCAGCAAAGCTGTTCCAGTTTTTTTCATTTGAAGTTAGAACAAGCACAGTTTTCTGAAAAAATACAAGCAGTCTGTTTCCTCCAAAGTTTTCTTTTTACTTAAAAAAGCCTGTAAAAATATTTTGCACAACCATCTATATCCATCTATTCAAGATAAGAAGGCAAATATATATATATGAAATAAGAGTTTTATCTGTATATAGTTATATTCGCAAAACAATCAGTCCTCCTTGGCTGGCCTTTTTACCTCCAGATGCTCTGCTTTGCTGACACGACTGCAAGACACATAAAAATAAATGAAGTGATCCCATTATGATAGCTTAATGTTTGAGAAACAAAAGGATGACAAAGTGTGGAGTTAAATATGCTATTCCATGCAACTGCAGATTTAACGAAAAAACAGTGATGGTCTTTATGATGGCTTGTTCTGAAATAAATTCCAGATTTGCAGGTTGCCGCATACTTTAAATAATCTGATATACAGAGCGTAACCTTTCTTTAGCAATGTAACACTTCCTATCTACTGCAAGCCAATATGGGATTTGATTATTATGGGCTCCTGAACTTAAAAGCAATCTCAAAATTCAACATCCTCCGGCAAAGGAAAAATGGTTTGGCGAAACCAATTTGATTTAACAAATCAGAACCAAAAGAAAGAGAGAAACACTGAGGATCTGGCTTCTTTTTCCCGTTCTTTCTGTGAACATGGTTCAGGAATATACTCAAAGCATCCTAATGAAGACTGCTGGGATTAAAAATATGATAGTGGAATAATTACTGCATAGTTAAATAAAAGGGACTTGCACAGGAGAAATGAACAGTACAGTATCTGGGTATAGTGATATATTCTCAAAGCATCATTGACCATTTTACCAACTGAGACCAATTAGGCTACAACATTAAAGTCTGGAGTTTGAGCCTAAGCTTGCCAATCAGACTCTGTATTTATCTAACTCATGGCCAAGGAATGTGAGGTCCTGGAACTGTTGGAACTGTTATTCAGTATGCCACCTTTGAGCCAGGCTGTCCACAATTACTGTAAATGTTCTTCCAACCTCAAATAGCATTTTTAAAATAAGTAAAAAATAGTTCCTCAGATGTTTAAACTGTTTCTGAGGACTCTGGATTAAATCTCTTCCCTTCATTTCCTACTCTTTCAATATTAAAAACAAACAAAAAAAACCCCCAGCATCTGAAAAACATATGCTAACTGTGGTGTACTTTGAAAGAAAGGTATTTCATGTTATTAACCCATGAGATTAAAACACTTGTCAAAGGAAACTACTGAAATGGAATATGAAGGAAAGACTACAATACATTTATAGGAAATAGCCAATACTGTAAAACAAAAACCAGACAAACTCTCCTTTGGCATCCATTTTTAAAAATGCAAACACTTAAACCAAATCTGACACACTGAAGGAACTTGGTAGGAAGATCTCAGATGAAGGATAAGCAAATATCACATGCAGGGTAATGTCCTTTGTTAGTGAAGTTGTAAAACGCCCTGAACTAGTGAGTGCACAATCCCCACCCCACCCCCATCCCAAATCAGCTGAACAAGCAATGCTAAGCTGGCAACTGCTCAAGCAACTGCTCCAAACATGATGCTATCCTGCAATTAATTGGAATGTTACTAGTAAACATCTGTCACTTTCCCCATCATCCCACAAGCATGCTAACAACAGACTATACCACGCCTTCGGCCCTAGCCTGTCATTTCAAACATCAGGAGCCACTTCTGAAACTCTGCTTACTCCTGTGCTCAGCTGCTTCTCCCTTGCCAGGTGTGATTGCTGGCTTTGATAATCATGGGAAGACAATCAAGTCATTCATGTCTAAGAGGAGAGAAAGGCTGAGAAGCTGAAGCATTTGTAATTTCTTGTAGCTGGGAGCTGCCCGCACCAAAGCAAGAAAATTGTGTTTGGAGACCTGCTTGACAAGACCAAGCATTAAGCAAAGAGAGACTTAGGTCTGTTCAAACATACACACCCTCGGGGTTCAAGCTGGACACCAGGGGATTCTGCAGGTTCCGTGGATTGCCGAGGAACTGCTTGGCTGTGGCTCTGGGAGGTGAGTCTCTGCTGAGTTCAGACAAATCTAAGGAAAATGACAATTTTATATAGCTTCCTTGACTAAAGGTACATTTCTTTGATGAGAACAGCTTTAATTTTCAAGACTCACATATCAATACACATACACCAACTATTCTGCTGTCTTCCTGTGCTTCCATTTGCAATCCACATTCACAGCTACCTATTTTTATCCATGGTGCTTTTTTGTAGGCTGGGTACAGTGTTGACTAATGGTGGCAGAGTTGTGACCTAGCTCATAAATTCATCATTTGCCCATGGATGAGTGTAAGTGCAAAGAATACTGATAATGTCAACTTTGCTTTTCTTTGCTCTTCTGGAAAAAAGAAGAAAAAAGATCCACACCTTTGAGTTGGATCAGCTGCAATGGTTTTCACTTCTAGTATGAGAGCTAAAGGCATAAGAGTTGAAGTGGGAACTAATAATTCCCAGGCTAGAGACAACTGTTATGTAAACATATCTCAGCAGCTGCCACCCAAGGCCATCAAACAACCAGCTAAATATCTGTTCGTGTGGAAGGGCAGGAGGCTTTGGAGGGACTCTGACTTTTCTTTGCTATAGGGGGCAATCACGTTTGAGGATTCATTCTTATCTGCCATAAGGATTCTAAACTAGCTGAACTGTGTCTAGAAGTCTAGCCAAGAGCTGAATTAAAAGTTAAGTATCTGGAAACCTGTAGTTTACTGCTGAGCCTGGATTTGAAGCTTGATAACTAGAAGGCAAATAAAATTCACAAGATCTATTGTACTAGATGGGTCACACCAAGGTAAGCTCATGGAAATCAGTGGACCAGCAGGTTTCACAACAGCTTTGGCTCAGATAGACAATGCCAATTTTTCAGGAAGCCTAACTCAGGTTAAGTGAAAGCTAGTCAAATGCTACATAAAAAGGGATACTGTCTTTACAGTGATTGTTCATTTAAACAGAGATTTTTGAATGCTGCACATCAATATCATTACCACAATATTCTTCATTGTTTCTTCTAAAGCAGAGATGGGATATAACGGACCAAATCTCCATAATATTTACTATAAATTCAAGTCAAACACAGATCACATGGACTCATCCCATGCAGTTTTCTTGGAAGGTACGGCATGGATTTTTAAAAACTTCCAAGTCTAACCTGCAGCCCTGGAATTCCTGATGGTTTCCTATTCAAGAACTAAAACGTTTAACCCTGTTGAACTTCCAAGCCCAGATAAATAGCATTGGTCACGTTTTATCAGCTACTGAGACCAATTTGAAAAATAAAAAAAAAGTATTGTAGAAGGAAGAAAGGGCACATATTTCAAATGCCTCTACCAAGACTATAATCTTCCACATGTATGTCTATTTACTCATGACTGCGGCACAGAAAGAAAAATTAAAAACTATATAAATAGTTGTAAATGCCTATCATGCCTATTCCCAGAAAAGCAACGAAACACACCTGAAAATGGACTGGGTTGAATGTAAGATAATAACTAGGGGTGAACCTTTCCTTCTTGAATTGTTATGTTTAACTCAGAACCTCCATAGTGCAGTATCTTGTTTTATTTTTCTGCAGTTTTAGTCCAGTCAATAGTGCACTAAAAACTCGATAGTGTTTAGCCTCCAAATCTACCCAGAATTAAAGAAGATGGCCAATTAATTGTTCTTTCACATGCTCCGTACAGTGGGGCAAAAAAGTATTTAGTCAGCCACCAATTGTGCAAGTTCTCCCACTTAAAAAGATGAGAGAGGCCTGTAATTTTCATCATAGGTATACCTCAACTATGAGAGACAAAATGAG